CTATTTGACATAGGCTATGTTTATTTTCTAGGTAGTGCAAAACCTTGATATAACGTTAGACAGAAGTTTGAGCTATTCTCTATGGTGTCTGAGGGAAAAACTGTATCAGAAGGATCTAAACCCTCCCCTGATCTCTTTGAAACCACTACAAGGGATATTTTTATGGATCAATGCCAAGACTGGCAGTTGTCAAGGGCCTGCTGTATTCAGAAAGTTAGTATTTGAACCAAAACAGCTAGGGAATGAGTTTTCTAACTAGAAGAAAGAAATGTAACAGTCATCTGTTATCCTACACAAGGATGGGTGATGTGGAAAGACAGCCACCAACTGCACCCCAACGTTATTCATGAAAAGTCTTTCACCTTTTTAAAAAGACAGACTTGAGGAATGAAAAAGGTTAGTCAAATGAGTCGAGAAAACTGAACTAACTTCTTTCAATCCTTTGGAGCAGTAGTGTGTAAGAAATGGAGCTAGGCGATGAGAACCCTAACACTGAGAACAACCTGGTGCCCAAGCTGTAAGATGGCATATGGAAAACTGAGATAACTTGTCATCCTGAATCCCACCTGAGGACCTGGAACCCAAGGCAAGATCAGACAGTTTCACCAGAGAAACATATCTGAGAGGGACCCTGGATATGAACTACTGCTTTCTTGTTCACATCTAAAATGAAAAGGTTGACTTTGGAAATTCCTGGTATGGAACCAACCTATGATATCCACTCACTCTGTCTCCTCCAACATCAAGCTTCAATATGAGACCATGACTGATGGTGCTCAGGGAAGAACTCAGTCTGCCTATGGGTGAACCTCATATTGAATGCACCCATCCCAAAGATAGCCCCCCACATATGGAAGCTTCCTGATAAAAACACCGTGTTACTACTAAGACAAGATTAGAGCAAATACCTATCTGTGTAAGGTTCTCACAGTCCTCTGATCTGGTGTACCTGGTTGTTCCACTCTCAATCACCTTGAGGAATGGAAAAGCGGTCTGAGGAAAAGCCAAACAACCCACCACAACGGAGGTGGTAGTGGTAGGATAAATACAAGACCAGAAGATGACCCTCCTATCAGTTCATATCCTCTTGTGAACTGTGCCAAGGAAACAAGTAAATTTTATTCAGTTGAGCAGAATCAAGGCCTCATACATCACAGTCTCCATGGCGAGTGATTCAAACACAGAGGCCTTTCTGAAGAGTTAGCTTCAGGTGTGCACGGGCAAGTACCTGGGTCAAATATGAATGAGTCATCACTGGAAAGCATGTTAATCAAGTCTTAAAGCAAGGCAGATCCCTTCCTGTAACCCCACGGAGGAGAAGGAAGGTAGGGGGGTTTCAAATTTTTGGAGTGTGATGTTGAATCTGAAGAAAACAAGGATGGTTTCCCAACTGGCAATCTGGTCAAATATCTATACCTTCATCTGTCTCTGCAATTATGTATGGATCTTGCCACTACTGCTTCCAGACAGTTGAGAAATTAGCTGTAGTCTAAGAACTGAGAAGTCCTGGCTCACCAGAGGTGAGAAACAATAAGAAGGTGAGGTGAGAAAAAAAAGAAGATTAAAAACAAACGCAGGGAGAAAAAAAAAAAAAGAAAGAAGGGAATTGATAAAATCTGTATTTTAATACCAAGGGCAGTTAGAATATTTTTGTCTGGTTTTGGTTTAAAATGCAATCATCTCCATGGGATTTTTCATACAGAGAACATTGATTTTATAGTATCTTGCAATTTTAACTGGGGAAATATTATCAGATACTTTGCAGGTCCAGATTTTTATTCATTTCTCTAGATGTACTGCTGAATTAAACTCAAACCATTTGTACAGATGATAAAGTCTTTCAAAAACCAATGTTGTTAAATCATAAACATTAAAAATGATACACAGTGAATATCAGGGAGACTACTGAATCCCGTAGACTAGGTAGCATGGCAAAAAGCCAAAAAACAACTCTAGAAGATGTTTGCTCTCTGCCTTGTATGACTGGCTGGAATGATACGGAAATTATTTAAAATGCAAAAATAGTCCAGAGCTGTCCATTATTTGTTACTAATTTACAGCAAGGGTGAAATTCTTCTGTAAATCCTCCTTACTGCTCAAAAGTCACATATCCAAGAAAATTTCAGAATAGCATAGGTCTACAAAATTAAAACAATTTATTAAATCCCAATAACTGTACTGGGCTAAAGTTCATGTAATATTACTTTGGAAGACAGGAAAGCATTTAAAGTGATTCCTTTTTCTTTCCCCAATCTTTTCTCAACGGTCAGCACTCAAGAGCAGTAATATGCTCTAGTTTTCAAAAAACTGTTGTTGAATACTTTGGAGAACATATTTTTGCCTGTTATTCCCGGTATGAGATTTCCTGCATATTCCTAACACGTCATGTTATTTGGGATAGTTATGTACACAGTTAGGTTTCTAGGACTGATTCTACATTCTTCCTGTACAAGTATCATAAATTTATCCTGGAGCAATATAGCATTTTAGCATTAGCAGACTTGCACTTTTTTCTTATTACTGTTGTAAGAATGCAGAACTATGTCTTTTACTTAAAGTTCAGTCTAATCTATACATTTTAGGGACTGAATCAAACATACATATAGCTCACAAAAACGGTTGTTTCTTCAGCGAGCTATACTCATTCTTTTCCTTGCTTCTGTAGCAGGACTGTTAACATGAATGGTAAACTGCCATCAGAAAACTTAGTGTAAAATATCTAGACATGCAGAAAAATCCTTCCTCCTTACCTACAGCAGTATCTGTGAGGGCACCTATTGACTATAAATCAGATCTGATGTGGAAGAATGATCAACAGGCTTAAGAGAAAGGAAAGAGATGATGTGCAAATGTATGTTCCTAACTCCTCCACATGACCTTTAGGTTAATTTTAAGGGCGGAAACAGCTGAAAGCATGACTTCACTGACTCTAATGACAGATACTCATTCAATATTTCTCTCTCTGCAGTTTTTAAAGTGTCACCACAGAATCACAAGAAGCACATCGAGTAAATCCACCCTTCCTCCCGGTTCTGTCATCCTAGGAGGTCATGCAGATACACAAAGAAACTATTGTGAAGGCAGTGGCAATAGGAGAAAGCAGAAGACATTCAAAATAAGTGTTGCCACAGTACTGTTCAAAATGCCTAGAGATAATATTTTTAATACAACAGTGTGAGAGTTTTCAATACAAAAAGATAGGGTCAAAGGAAGCATCTACCTACCTTCATGCTTTCTGCACCTGTAAGGAACTTACAGGAAGTTTGGGGTACTTTCATTGTGGACAACTGTGATAGCAACGTTTGTCCCCAAAACTGCCAATGAGGGCACTGACAGGAAAAGTGGGCAGATTGGTAGACCTAAATGCATACTCTACAGTATCTCTCAAAACGCTTTTCCTGAACTTTCTCATTAAAAAAAGGAATCGTCTTACAGCTCTACAATATCTGTATGCATCTAGAAGATGACCCAAGATTCCCTCTCTCTTTCTTGGCTTGTTTAGAGGGAGCAAGATCTTTCATCTCATCAACCACATTGACAGTAGGTAATGTCAACAAGTTAAACTGTTCAGTTAGTTGTACTGTTTGGGAAGTTCACAAGACTGCACGACGTTAAAAAAAAAAACAAAATAGAGTATTTTATTGTGTCTTGTGGTTGCAGAGAAATTTCAAACTTTGGTTAATAATAAACCAACCCATTTTTAGTGAGGGTCAGGGAAGGAAGACTTACCTCGCTGTAATTGTTTATGTGAGCTCTTTACTTTTTTATAATAAAATTAAATATATTCTCTGCTTTCAGAAGCTATTGCCATGTTCTTAGCTACATCTCTTAGCAAACTTCTGCTAAAGACACTTCTCTATTTTGGGCTAGAAATTCTGTCCTACGCTTTACATGATATTAATCTAGCATTTGTGAGTGGCAAAAGAGAGAGGTAAAATTATGTAAAGATAATTAATTACAAATTTGTATCAATTATCATTAATAAACCAAACATTTACTGCCGTTTATAAAAGCATTGATCAGTTTTGACACTAGGAGAATTATAACTTCACATACTCATTTACTCTTACTTTTTCCTGTTCCTCACTTCTGAGGTCAAGTCCCACTATTTCCTTGATATTTATGGTCCTCATATACTTCTATATAATTTTTATGTAGATGAATTTCCTCCAAATTCAGAACCATTTTCCTTTCCTAAAATCTCTCCAAAAATGGACAATTTTTTTTCTGATTTTTAGGAGCTCAGATCTAGTTTGGTGGGTTTTTTTTTTTCTATAAAGATTTCTTTGACATTCATTCTTTCCTAAATGTAGATATTCTGAGGTAAGCAAGGATATACGCCACATAGAACAGCAGATCAGAAGAAAATTACCCCAATTTATGACATTGGAGACAGACTACTTTCACATTTTTATCAGCTGAGAAAATTAAATAAAGAATTCGTTTGGCTGCTCTGAACAATGGATTTGCAATTTGCATAGAAAAAATGATGGCAAAACCTCATAACCCATCAGTGTTTTACCACAAGCTCAGTTCTATTACATTTTAGTGGAGGTTCAAAGTTGTCTAAAGAAACCATTCTCTTCTTTCTCCAACCATAAATGTGTCACTTGAGAGTTCAACTTCCAATAGGAGCAGTATCTGACACACAACTAATTTTAGAATATAAAGTGCTCCTCACCATATTGGAATACATATAATTTAAAATAACTGTAAACCTAAACTTTGCAAAAACAGAAAATTCAAGCACTAACAAAAAAGCATAATTTGTAATTGAAAGAAAATAATATTTAAAAGAAAAAAAAACTTTTTTGTCTTTCCAAAAAGAGACAGAAATTACTAAGTTTTATTTCCCAAGAGAATTATGCCACTTTTATAAAGAAAATTACAGTCACCACAAATTGCTCTCAACAATTCCAAAGCTTCTTCATTTGACCACTTGAAAATCAAAGTTCTTTAAGATTATAAATATAACTTTTTATAACTCTGTTATTACGTACTGTGAATGGGGAAAGGGGGCCAATTTTGTGGCCATAGCGTCGAATGGCCTCTCTGATGTGGCTGGGCTGGATGGCATCGCTTTGAGCCTCTATACCACAGGCTGCAGTGCTCTGCAACAGAAAAACACATAAATTGTTACTAAATCAAAAACACACAACAGACCTACAGTGCATAAAGTATTAAAATAAACCTTTATAAAATGGACCAATTTTTTTTTCCTGAGGATACACATCATTGCTGCCACACACTACATTAGAGAAAAAAAGCTATTAACAAATCAAAGAGGACTTTTACATGAACTTTGCTTAAGAGACCCAAAGAACACCATATTTGTCCTCTTAAATCTTTCACCTAGTGCTGCTGTATGTTGCAATTGAAAAGAGCAGAAAATGTTCAAACTAAAATGAAAGGGTCATATAAGTCATACTGCAATAACCACAGAAACTATTTTTAAAACATTTCAGACTCTCATTATGATGTCAAGGGGTGGGGAAAATATTGAACAAGTACCCAAAGTGGAAAGCAATTTGACACCAAAATCGCCATTGAGTAGTATCAGATTGAAATTTGAAGATGAAACATGTGACATAATGGTGTTAGAGGGATGCAAAAATATTTTAATTACCTCAAACTGGAATGTTTTCAAATTTCAAATGACTTTTTTGATTAAGGACCCTAAATCAGAAAAATAAGAATTCACTGCTACTGGTCCATTGATTTTACAAAAAAATCCGCAGGATTTTAGAAGAAAAAGTTACTCTTTTCTCCTTTAGGCTCCATCTAGACACAGCTGCTTGCCAGAATTCAGAAGACTTATCAGAATGATGGCTGTTTGGTAATAAATTCATGAAAACTATATTAGTGAATGTACTAAGAATGACAAAAACTTGAATTATACACTGAAATTTAATGTACATGCATACACAGTACCCTCATACACTTACACTATATACTAATGCTTTCAAATTTGGGATATTTTTTACAAAATGTTTTATTTTCAAGAGTGCTGCGTCCACTGGAGCCTGTGTATGTACACACAGAATTATTCATAATATGATGGCAGATTCTTCCCTTGCTGATTGACGTTCATAAAGGGAATGTGAAACTCAAATATTTTCAGCTGGACTGGGCCTTCATGGGCTAAGAATAACATTCTTCATGAAGTTGACTCGTTTGTCTCAATGCCTCAATTATATCCAGTATATATCTAACCAAATTGGATAAGTCATGGGAACATTTCATTAAAATGGTGCACTTTTTAGAATAGAATTATTTCAAAAGGCATTAGGTCAAACACTGGGAATTTAAAATAAACTCACAAAACTAGTGAAATATAATGTATCAAAAACTACATCTCCAGCTAAATTCTTGTTCCTAGGAACTATAATGGAAATCAGCCAGAAACAAAACATAATCAAATGTAAGATAAAAAGGAAGAGGAAAAAGCAAAAGTCTTCAGAGAGGTTTTTAGGATTCACTAAAGGCTTTCTAAATGGAATATAGTAAGGGAAGAGAGAAAGTTGAATGTATTAGAGTATCTACAGCAGTGATGACACTAGAAGGAGAAAATACATCTTTTGCTATCTGTCATTGTAAAAATCACTGGTTAAACTCTGTGAAAAATGAGTATTTGTTGTAGGAGAATAATAACACACATGAGAAAATCACAAGCCACTCGATTGCTTTGCAGCAAAATGAGTACTGCCATCAACATTTTTTCAAAAAAGCCCTAAATGACTAACAGAGTGCTTCCCATCCAGTTTATTTAATCAAATCTAGTTCCCTGGTGGTTTTAAGATAGAATACCGAGGATCAAGAACAGGAATTGTAATATTTATATTTCATACTCTGAATATGAGACATCCATAATTTATGCAAAGTGAACAAATATTTAGATTGAATGCAACCAACTGGCATAAAAATAAAGCAGGTCAGGTAAAGTTGTTATAGGCAAAGAAGGCAGTCACCTAAGGCTGCTGGGAGCAGGAAAATCACAACTACCTCTTTGCCTACTTTGCTTACGCTTTGACCCTCAAAACCTGCGCTAGCTGCTACCATCAGAGAAGGGGATGGTTATTTGGGATGGTGTCTACTGCTTTGGCTGTAGAGGAGCAGCTAATCTTAGAAGCAGCAGTTGTTACTGCAACAAAATTCAGTTTGCAGGCATTACAGAGAAGCTTTAACCTAGTTCTGATAGAACACCAAACCACACATTTGGCCCTACAAAAACATCGGTAGTTAACATGTGATATAGGTTAAAATTAGTATTTAAAGAGAGACATGTTCTTTCCGGAAGATGTTTTGGTTTCTTCTTCTTTTTTTTCAGGCTTGTGCACCAAATACCTTTTTTCTTTTCCTTTGTTTGGATTTGGTAGAGTCCTGTCCAATTCCACCATTCCCCAGAGCTCCTGATGGGGTTTTCCCAAGATGTTGCTGTCCTGCTGATGCCGGGGGTGTGGGTGTAGGAGGTGGTGTGTTTTCAGGAGAGTCAAGACTGGTCTTCACACTTGTAGATTGCCCTAAGAGATGTGGCTATAAAAGCAAGATGTCAAACAGCCATTATATAATCAAATCACAAAAAAAAAAAAAAAAAATTGCCTTCTTAGATTTACTGTTAGAAGAGACGGAATACAGAATTAAATTTGCTCATTCTAGAGGTTACTATAATATCTGTATCGCAGCAGTGCACGCAATACAGCACTTACTGCACTTGCCACTGTTGACAACTTCAATCTCCAAATCTGCAATAAAGCGAGCCTTCAATACAGAGAGAAGGAATTTCCACCCAAGAAAAGAGGATTTACATTTAAATATAAAGATGCTGCTAAGAATTTAACATTTGGAGCTATAATTTAATGTCTTTCCATCTAAATCCATAACTTCAATGTTCATAAACTCCGTAACAGAAGTCTGTATCAATACCAGATTCAGTAACAGCTACTTTGAAAGCAACAAACTACCAAATACATGTAACAGTAAAACACAAAATGCGTTAATACGTGAAAAAGCAAGATTTACCTCAGTAGAGTTGTGATACTGTATGAAGGTGGCAGATATGGCATGACTGAATGGGTCACCAGCTTTGGGAGCCATGTCCTGCTTAACCAAAAGGGCCAAGTCCACCAACTGGAGGGGCAAAACCAGCCGACAAACAGGTAGGTTTACTGACGTGGTACTTACTACAAATGCCATTGTAAACAATGAACAGAGATAGGAGTTGTGGGTTGAGGCAGATTATTCTTAGTGTTTCTCAGTTGAAAACAAAATCATTCAGAGATATTTCAGCCTAAGGAACCTTTCTTTTCCACTTCTGTAAATATTAGGGAGTAATCTATCTACCCAAGAGGGCTCAGCTTGGCACTAAGGTAACATTTTGTTTTCCAGGATATCCTGCTTTTTAATCCAATTGTGCAATGGGGTTGAATGAGCCTCGGTGCACTGCCAAAGGTCACATAGCAAAGTATGTGGTTTCAGTTTGGACTTGAATGAAGTTCGTGCTGGACTCCACTCTCCTCTGTAACCATTGTAAAACACTTCTATTTGTGTACCAGATGGATGAATACGCTATAGTACTCATCTGTCATACAGTAAATTGAAAGACAGACAGGAATCCAGTTAGTTTGGTTAGCGGAAATAGTGACTGAAGGGGCTTACAACACAGTTACCTGAGGCTGAAGCACATCCAAGTACTAATTAATTTTGTTTAGCTAGAGTTCAGTCAGTAGAGTATACTCCCTTACCTGTGCCACAGTCTCATACGCCAAATATGCCAAAATCTCCATTGCAACTGCATTTGGCTTTATTTCCATACTGCTACAATCCAACCAGTCACGAAACTTGGATGCTTTCTTTGCTGTCAATCAAAATCACAAGGGGAAAAGGAGAAGTTAACAACAAGTAGGCCAAAATAATGTATTTTTTCCGGTCACAGAAAATACTGCAAATGTGAAACAAGGAGTGAATGTGATTTGATTGGCCAAGGAAGGAATTATCAAAATTAAATTAGTGGGGAAAAGACTGTTATTTCATACACAACATTTTGGAGACCCATAAGCAGCATGGAGTAAAGAGAAAAACACACAGTTAATCAATCATACAGGAGATTTCAGAACAAGGAAGGGTCTACCTCAGAAGACCGTAGATGGGACAAACCTGATTTTGAATATATTATTGTAAAAGAAATAATATGATTGCATCGCATCTTTGATGAATGAGAGAAACCACTAGAAGAAATCAACACAAATCTGGCCCAGATAAAATTATATAATTGTGTTAACAACAGCGAAGACGAATGAAGAAGGAGAGAAGAACTAGGAAGTCATTGTGTTAACCATGCAGGGATTAGGTGCTGACACGGTGGCCAAAATGATTTGTAGATGAGTGTTTTTAAAATGTGCTTTGGATATAAAGAAATACGGATAGATGTAGATCTGCAAATGATCAACATTCATAGAATCATAGAATCATAGAATCATTAAGGTTGGAAAAGACCTCTAAGATCATCAAGTCCAACCGAAAAATGAGAACTTCATAGTGCTAATGGATGATATCACTTCGGAGAAAGTACAGAGAAAAATATGGGACAAAGAAACATGATATTTGCTGAGAGCGCTAAAAGAGGAACGAGAGATACCAAGGTGGAATTGAAAAAGCATCATGAAAATTCACAGGAGAACCAAAAAACGGACAATCTTACTTAGGTTAGTGGTGGACAAGCTGATCACAGAAAGCTGTGGAGACTTGGACAGAAAGAAGTTAGTAATATAGAGATCTTAATGAGGGCTGTTTGTGAAGACAGGACAACCAAAATGAAGTAAATACAAGGTGGAAGAATCACTTGAACCAGCTCTTTCAGAGACAGTCTTCAATGAGGACTAAAAAGCTAAAGGGAAGTCAGCTATTAAACTGAAAACAGGTGTAAATAATCATTATTTTTTAAGGAGGGAATGAAAAAGCTACACAGGATTGCTGAGGGGGAAAAAAAAAAAAAGAAAGAGAAAAAGTGTGAAGGTGATAGCAGGACCACAAAATGTTCCCTAGAATTTAAATTTGTAATCGTGCAGTACTTGATCTTTGATGGACCTTTTCTTTCGCTTGTCTTTAAAACAGCACAGAAATATGTGAAGCTGTAATTATGAATATATATTGTTAGAACAGGCTGCTTGAAATCCCTTCCAGGTTTATTCTCTTGTGACACAGTTTTCATGGATTTATATTACAGTAAAAAGGGTTTACTACTTTAAACATAGCAATACATTCAATTTTTATCAAAATATAAGAATATAAGCAAAAATAGCCTTTGTGCTAGTTTTGAACAAATGTTCTGCATGGCCTTTAGTATGCGCTGTCTAGTTGAGTTCATATTATGCAATTGAATTTGTGCATGAGTTTCTCTTGCTACTATTTTCTAAGCACTGTAATTCTCTTATTCTTTAATGACATTAAAAGTCAGTGAAAAGAACTGTATAGACATGGTCATTTAAAAACACTGTGAAAATACTGTTGAGACTTTTTTTATAGATCACAATCCCCTGGTCAGCAACATTCAATTTTATTTTGCAAATTTAGGATTTCTATTTGTTCTGTCTCCAGATGATAATTTTTGGGTTTTAAAGACGACTTTATCACAAACCTCTCATTTGCTGAAGTCACCCTAATCTGAAGTATCATTTAGCTAATGGCTCACAGATGTGTGATGCCAAATTATAACTAAGCTTACAAAACATATTGAATTAGGAAAAGAAATGCTTACAAAACGTGTTTTCCTACATTTGCTGACATTTGCTGATACAGAACAGTATTTCAAATGTGTCATTTATTTGCCATAAATGAGTCACTCTTCGAATTTAAAAGGAAGAACAAGATAAGGTCTCTCATTTAAAGACACCATTGTGTTCAAGTCTGTGTTGCAGGATCATGTGCTGTTTTGTCATGATTTTTACTGGCTCCTTCACCTCACTTTCTCTGACATTTGACCTAAAACCTTAGTCATCGCTTAACCGCTTCTGTAATGATGTTTTGCTACATGATCAAGCCCATTAATTTACAGCTCATTATAGTTGTGGCCCACAAGTACTTCTAGTAAGTTGGTTTTCAGTGCTAGTAAAGCCCTAATTCTGTCATCATGTTATTAGTGTTGGAATGGCGTATACTGATGAATTTGGCTAATGTTGAATAAATTCCACAGCAGGAGCTTACAGCTTAAAATAGAAAAGACTCTTTAGTAAGTTCTTTGTGTCTCTGTGGATAGGGAAATAAAAGCAAAACTTGCTGCTCTTCTCTAATTTTAGATGCATTCCGAAAAACCTGCAACCATGAAACTTTACTAATATGCTGATTATAACAACACCATGACAGACTTCAGGCAAGTACGGGTGTTTTAATCCATTAACTCTTTACCAGTTCTATCTTTGCCATCGCCTCCACCAGCACGGTATTTGAGCATATAGAAAGCTTGGTAAATATTCAAATAAAATAGTCTGCCTGACAGCCTGAAACTATACTAAATAAACTGTTCCCAGGAGTTATGTGGACAAAAAAATTAAAGTTTTATTATTGCAGATGAAACAAAAGTGCTTTAAAAAACCATGAGGTTCTGCTGTGTTCTCTATTACGTGAAATAATAATCAAACATCTTAATACAGTGCAGCCATTATAATACTTACAAAAACTCAATTGCCGACTTTCACAAAATTCTGCATACTGGACCGAGTCCATCATTCGTGTTTGTCTTTCTGCTCTCTGACAAAAGAGTAGAAGTACATGATGTACCTTATTCCAACAAGAACTGCATTCCACAACAGAAATTATAGCAGCAAAGTGCCCCTGCCATAACCTTGAAGTAACCCCCCCAAATAAAACACGCATTGAACAAGTTAAGATGCAGAAATACAAACCACAGATTGGTTATTAGTCTCGTGAGTTAAATTACCAAGAGGAACGTGTCAATTCTTATTTTAAAAATCTGCTTGCACACCGCTCACCTACGACAGTGACGAGGGCTGAGTTAGGAAAGGTGCTGAGCACTCTTGCCCTGACCGAGGTGCATCTTTAAATTGAAGTGCATGAGTAGTCTGACTATGTGTTTACAGATGACCAGACAAGTAAAACATTCTCCTGGACCGAGGCCAACATGTTCTGCACTGAGCAGAACTGAACCTGTGTGCTTTTAAAATGGGAGCATTAACAATAGTGAAATGAATAAATTCCATAACATTGAGGATGTACCAGACAGAGAGGAGCACTGAAGTGCTCCTTCCCACACAGATATTCAATATACTGTAATAACTAAGTGGTAAATGTGCCTGTTTCATTTCTTTTTCCACTGTTAATCGATGCTTGATTTTTTATACTTCTGAACACCTACAGGAGAAGAAAGGCAACTAGACTGAATTAGAGTTCATTCAAGAAAAACAGCTTAAAATGATCACTACTAGACTTGAGAATGTATTTCACACAGACTCCAGTGTAAACCAAAAGATATATCTCAAAAAAGTCAAGGTACGAAACCATAAACATTCCACACACCCTCCCCTCCGCACATACACTACGCCATAACTGAATCGTGGCTGAAGCAGCACTGAAGTTCATGGTTAGGTTTGAGCACGTGTTTGAGTTCTGTTTACTTCAACAGAGCAGGGTTGATTTTCACAAGGCAGGGATCTGGTTTCTAAAAGAGATTAAATTCTTCACGTATCGGAGGCAGGAAGCAGTCGTTAGATTAAAGAGAACAATTATCCTCTTCAGAAGCAGACAGCTTACTCAAGTCTCTTAAACAAGGAAAGTAGATTGTCTTAAATGTCAAGGAAAGGAATATAGCTATCTTCCAAACAATAACTCAATGAATAAATCATTACACCTGGTAAGAACAGAACCGAAACTAAGGATACAAAGTGTGTCAGGAGAGGCTGATGGCACCGAGGCTTCCCTTCTGCAATGAGTCCATACAGCTCAAGAAATCACGCACAAGGAAGGTAAAGTACAGGTGTGTTCGCATTAAAGACAAAAACAAAGAAACAAATTTTGCTCTGACTCCCCGAGCACTTTTACATCTGATGAAATCGAAATGGCGGAGTTCTTTAATCAGATGTAATGGAAAACAAAAGGGTTGTTGATAAGAGTATTTGGAGCCAGGCTGTACAACCAGCATTTGGCCTTAGCAGTTTCTCAAATCAGAAAAAAAAAACCAACAACCCCCCCCCTAGTACTTCAAATACACAGTTTCTTCCCCTATTCTCTGCCTTTTAGGCCACTCTTCTATGACAGTCCAATCCATCAATTATGAGATCTTGTTGACAGACAACACATTCAATTTAATTGTGAACTGAGCCACCAACTGTCCAGGAGCATACCTGGATATTCCTTCTTTCTTTTCTTCTCTATGCAGTCAAACATTTCTGCTGTATTTTGACTTTTAGTCACCAGGATAGAAAATGTTCTACTTAAGCATTTTTCAGTTCTTCTCCCATGCATGCTGCTGGCATCTTAACTACATTTTGTGGAGCTGCCATTTCAGATAAGTAAAAATTTTCAGTCAGTCTATTCCATCAAGACATTAAGTAAGTCTAGACTGATTTTGAATCCTTTAAAAATAATTGTCACAATACATGCCATAACTTCAATCCTCATCTAGCATAATCATAACAGAGATCTGTTTTGCCTCTGAATTAATTCAGTCGTACTTTTGAAGACAGAAGGCACCGCCAGGATCATCTAATCTGAACTTCTGCATAGCACAGGACACTTCTCACATAATACATCCTAGAAATGGCAGTCCTAGAATTTCTTGTGTAATTTCACAGTATGTTTTAGAAAGGCATCTAATTCGGGTTTAAATTTTTCACACATTAAGAGATAACTTCTTCAAATAATTTAAAATGCTAACTTTTTATACAATATGGTTTAAATTCTGCCATCATTTGTGGTTTTGTTTGCCAGTCAGAAATTACTAGTTGGGCACAGCCAAGTAATATTGAAATAATTTAACTTTAGGTGGGTATTGCAAATAGACTGAGCTTCTCTAAATATGATAAAATTTTCTTGAAATTTTACATGTGGAAATGTGCAGGCTTGCAGAACTGTTGCTTGAGATCCCCCTCCAACAACTCTCCCTCTGGAGGTCTCTAGCCCAACCTCCATCTTAAAAGAGGACTATTGCCAACACTAAATGAAGTCAGCTATGGCTTTCTCTAACAAAGTCTTGAAAACCTCCACGGACAGAGATTTTATGTCTCCTCTGGGTAACCTGCTCCAGTGTTGCACTAGTCAAAAAGATTTCTAACGTCCTACTTGATCCTGCCAAACAACAATTTGTGGTTCTTGACCTTCTTTATTCTGCCCAGCACTACTAAGAAAAGTTTGGCTCTATCATTTTTGTTACTGTCCTTCCGCAGTTGTAGGCTGCTATCTAACCATGCTTCAGCCTCCTCTTCTTCAGATTAGGTAAAACTAAATAATCTCTCTCAGTCTCTTCTGACAGGTCATGTGCTCCAGGGCCCTCAGCTCTCAGTAGCTTTCACCTAAACCTTTCCAGTTTCTCAGCACTTCCGTGGAACTGAAGGACCCAAACCGGGATGTAGTGTTCCAGATTTGGCTCAACAGCACCAAGTAGAAGGGTGTGACAACGTCCTTCAGTCTGCCAGCCACATTTCTGCAAAACTGTGATTTTGCTTTAATATGATGAGACCAAACTGTTGACTCACGTTCAACCTGATGTTCATTATCACCCCCCAGGTTCTTCCCAGAAGGGCTGCTACCCAGGCAGTTGGTATCCAGCCTGTACTGATGCATGGGGTTGCCCTGTCCCGGATGCAGAAACTCAATGAAGTTTCTGTTGGTTCAGCTCTCAAGGTTTTCAAGACCTGTCTAGACTGAAGCTCCGTCAATCAGTGTGCCAGCCACTCGTAATTTACTGTCATCAACAGATTTGCAGAATGTGCATTTTGTACTTTTGCCCACATTTTTGTCCACATTGTTGATGAAGACATTGAACAATATGGGCCCCAGTATCAATCCCCAGGATATTCAGCTTTTACCTGTTGCTACCTATATGTCGAGCCACTGGCTATTAGCCTTCACATCCAGCAGTCCCAGTGATTTAAGACCCTTTGCAAGAAAAAGGCAGGCACAGGAAAGCAAAATGACATGAAATCCTAACATGAGGAGGTATGCTTCAAAGTCCTACCTGAGATGACAAAGAAAAAAGACATCTAGAAATTTGACAAGAATACTCTAACTTTTACAGGCATCCCATAATGTAATATGGAGACTGCAAAACCAGATGAATCCCAAGTGCAGTTATGTTAAATTAAATGATTTAGCAATGGCTACTCTCAGCAAATACGCTATAAAACTCTGAAAATGCATGCTGTCAAAGGCTAGTCAATATGCCTCACAGTATGTTCACTATCAAAACATTGCAAGTTTCTTTACATGAAACAAAAAAACAGTAATCAAAGATTTATTAAAAGAAAGGTGCCGCTGAGAGATTTTTCCAATAGGGACTTCATTTCTCTCTACAAATTGTCTACAGTAGTTGTCTAAACACTGGACTTAATTTTGTTCTTATATATTAAAGGAATACTCACACTTACTTTTTCTCTGTATGGATATGTTTTATGTAGCAAAATTACCTACATATCTGTGAAATAAAATTGCTTTCTCCCTTCAATTCTCCTCTCTAAAAGAAGTCTTTCTTAACGGTGGATTCTAGAGTGATGCTTTAAAACACCACCAAATAAAATAGCTCTTATCATAAATAACTGGACTATATTTTCTTCCCAATACACTTTAACAAAAAACCCCACATCATGGCATGGAAACTCCCCATTCAAGGAGAGCCGTTCCACCAGTCCTACCAGTTTCGGAACAGTCTATAAATAACCAGCAAATGCAGGAGAAATAAACAGATGGTTAGCATAGGTATATCATCTTTAAGGAAACAGCGAAGCAGAAGACAACAGCAGATCATCTTTCTTCTTCACTTCTCAAGATTATAAACAGTAATTATTTTCTCTTACATCATCCCTGTTAAGGAAAAATTTAATGTTTCCTTATCTCTACATTTCTAAGGTATATTTTATAAACTTAAAATGAATCAATAACACGGGATGAAAAGGGAGAAGAAAGAGTGAACACATTACTGTGAACACAGTGTTACTCCAGGCCAAAAGAGTTTAAAGGAAACAGCATTCAATGTTTGGGAAGTCACAGAAAGTTTGTGAAAATGCTATAACCTGTAAGTAATGCTTTCTTTTAAGTCTACAGAATACCCACTTGCTCTTTTTCACAGTCTTTATCTTCCAACTATTTCTTCTTGAAAACAAGAAATGAGTCAGGGCGTTTTAACTAAGAAATAACTTCAATTTTATACAAGTGAAATTTTCCAAATTCTGTTCTGGGAAGGAGTAGCAAGTCACTCCAACAGGACTGAAGTCCTCTTTCATCGGTACAAAAGCAAGTTTGCTGGGAGAAACATGAAGAAACACTGAAACCCCTAATGATACGCCACCTTGAAGCAATCTCAGCTTGAAACCAGATACAATAAATGACATCAGCGACACTGCCCCACTGGTTTATCAAAATAATTAAAAATATATAGTTTTTACTCCCTCTGTAGTAGTACTAGTCACTCTAAGCAGTTAAGAAGCTGAGTTATGTGGCGTACAGCAGAATTAAAATACTTTGCATGCTTTCCTTGGAACATGCTGAAGGATGCAGTAGATAGGACCTGGCACAGCAAA